AAATATATAATAATAATAAATTAATGTTTTACTTGTTTTACAAATCCATATACTTTTATTAAAACTAACATATATACTTTTTAATTACGAATTCTATTAAAAGTTGCATTTGTCAGTATACGCAGAAATAGTCCATTAGTATCAAAACGAATTGGCGCTGCTGTCGCGCACGGAGCGAATAGGGACAAAATAATAGAGAATGACATCATAAGCAACTTTTATCATGATTCCTATACTTTCCTTATCTGTACACAGAAAGGAAAGCAAAAATGGCCGTGACGTTATTTTTTTAGGCAACCCATTTGCGGTATATTTAAAAACATATTTTATCTAATAAAAAAAAAGTTTTATTTAATAAACAGATGGGTGAAGCTCGACCTTACTTACGGATCCTGGACTATATTATCATAGCATCTCCTCTTTATTATATTTCATTGAGGTGTACACACTGAGTAACAGGAGACAAAAAGTCTGGAAAAACAATTACCTAGTCCACAGTTGTTGTCTTCAAAATTTTGACTGTTGGTGCCACCGATACAAAGTTCTGGAAAACCGATACCGATTTCATATTTAAATTTGTATTAAAGGTGCCACCCGTAGATAGGTTGGAAAAACCCATATACGCTAACATACAAGGACCAACTTTTCTTTAATTTCTCAAAAATGTGGATTTTCCGCACTTTCTTTACTAAAATTTGGGGTAAAATTTTGTTGCTAGAAGATTTTGAAGTTGTTAATCAACACACCTGTTAATCAACACACCTGTTAATAAACACACATATTAATCAACCTGCTGGTTCTCCATGTTATATACTCAATTGGGTTCTTTGACGATGTCCTGTTTATGGCTTAAACGCGGAAAGAGCGTGTCCTAATTTTATAACACAAAGGGAATTAATTATATTTATATAATTTGCCCTTCTATACACTTTTAAACCTATCACGTATTGTAATGTGTGACACTTCATTTGAAAGGTATAATTTTACTGGTTATTTTTTAACGAACAAGTGTATTATTAGGGGCGGTTAACAATCGAGATAATTTAACGCGCGAGAAGAGCGAGCACCTTAATGTTCGAGATTGTCAATCGCCATTTTAATTTACGAGTTCGTTACAGAACTTTTCCGTCGACCGTACTTTTGAAAAATAAAGATATCTTATACTTTTAAGAAATTAAATAATAGTCCAGGATCCGTAAGTAAGGTCGACATTCACCATTTGTTTACCAGATGAAAGTTTTTTTTAATAAATAAAATATGTTTTTAAATATACCGCAAATGGGTTGCCTAAGAAAATATGGTCACGGCCATTTTTTACTTTCCTCTCTGTGTACAGATAAGGAAAGTATAGGAATCATGATAAAAGTTGTTTATGATGTCATTCTCTATTATTTTGTTTCTATACATGATTTTTCTAAAATGGACCTAATTTGAGATATTTGATGAAAAGTGCAAATTTCGAATTTTGAAGATAACTCAAAAACGGATGAAGAGAAAAACACCAAATTTTGAACTTAAGCTTTAATCTATCCTGCGATGACCTGATTAAAGTTTGGGCACAGTCAAAGCATTTGGGGAATACTTTACAAGGTGTCGTTTTTTTACTTTAAGAAAATAAATAGTCTGGACCGAATTTTCTTAGGCAACCCATTTGCGGTATATTTAAAAACATTTTATTTAATAAAAAAAAAACTTTCATCCGGTAAACAGATGGGTGAAGGTCGACCTTATTTCGGATCTTAGACTATAATGACATACACTGACAGAGTATTAACACACCTTCTTGATTTCAAATGTATATGTAAATTTGGTTGCCTACACCATAAATAAATGTCAATATAAATGCATAATAATAACAATGTACTTTGGGTTGCATATAATAAAATCGATGATTAATAGAAAATCATTCATTAATAGGGGTCTTTAATCAACGATTTTGAGTGCGTTAAAATACATCATAAATGGTCGATCAATGGAAATGCATAATATAACAAATTATAATTGAATGAAATATTCAGTTAAATAAAAGAGGAATCTTGGAGAGCTCAAAAGGTTAAGAAATACAAACATTATTCGCAATCAATTGAAACAACAAATTTATGCTGCGCAATAAATTACTAATAAAATTAGCCTTCAAATGAAGTGCCACGCTTTACAGTAAGTAACAGTTTTTATCACTCTGGAGGGCGCTACAATCAAAAGCACCGTAATGAATAGTCCACATAATTAGATTTTCTCTTACTATACGGAGAATGGTCGCACTGCGCAGCTTTCTGAGTGCCTTTTAAAAGGAGATAGAAAACTCCGCCATTTTGATGCCTTATTACGTGTTGCCTACATCTTGGCGCAATATTTTTAATATTTTGCTTGTTGCTGTCAGTGTCACAGAATATTATTTTTGGAGTCACAGTTTATTGCTAAAGAATCAGTTAGCTTACTCAAACCAGTTGAAAGTTCCAAAATTACATCCACTCCAGGGATACAAATTCAGGATGCGCAGAAGACTGCTGTTTTATTATAGGCGGTTGTCGTATATTGTATTATCCGAGTTGCGCAGTGTATAAACTGGAACATTGAGATCAAAAGTGCCGACGCAGAGTGAGTGAGCGAACTGATTCTTTAGCTATAAACTGTGGTAAATGCATCAAAATGGCCGCGTCCTATGTTGGGCGTGTCGGACCTCTCTCGTGCACCGTATAGTAATCAAAGTATGTGACTTTTTCTATTTAAATTGTATTGACTATAGTGACGGCGGGAAGGGAAATGACATATGACAGATGAGGATATTATAAAAAGATGTCCCTTTCTAATAACAAATTAACCAGCCTAGCGATTAAAGATATTGACTCGGTTCCTGATAATGGACCTCGTACGTTTTCTGGCCAAACTGTATAAATTTATATTGTTAGCGTCTAAAAGCTTGATAATGCATAATATATATAAAAAATAGTAGTTTGTGCAACAAGAGTAGATATGACGGCCATACCGCACGAAGACGAAGTTTGAGCACGACGCCGTAAGCGGAGTGCTCGATCATCTGAGTGCGATACGGATAATCCACTCGAGCTCTACAGTATATTTTTTCTACGACCCACTAACGAAAATTAAAAATTTTCAAAATTTATATAATAAAATAAATACAAAAAAATTATTTAATTGGTCTCCAATCCAAGAATTGAACCCGGGACCTCTGCTCTATCGCCACACAAAAGTTTAGTTTTTTTACTTGTTATTAAATTGATTTCATAAAGTTTTATTAAAATGCATAGTTTATTTTTAAATATATACAAATAATAGAAATGCTGTTATTTATTAATTCTACAAAAGAGTAACTCATTTTAATGTATGTTTAATCTCAATAACTAAAAAATATACTGTCAATTAGTTTGACAGAATTGTCACTTATTTAAAATTAAAAAAAAATTAATAGTTGGGTGATCAAAATTTGAACTGTGATTGGTTGATTTTTTTGCAGTATTGTTACTTGGTAGAATGGATATGAAATATATTCGTTCAGTTGAATGGAATGGTTTACTTTTTCGTGTAGTCTGTGCGTATAATAGGTAATTTCCATGTGGGTGGAGAAAAAATATATTTTAAAATGTTTCAAAGGAAAGTAATACCGATAAAGATGAGAACTGATGATTTTTGTGATGTTGAAATTTAATAGACTGAGTTCCAGATTGCATGTATTGCTACCAGATAAAGCAAGAAAATTTTTTTATATGGTTTTTAGTTTTTTAAATATTTTATATTTATAAGAAAAAAAAAATTTAATTCAATATGGACACAAAAAAAAAATGTAGTCATTATATCGAAAACAAAAAGTGATCTTTTTTGTTCCAAAGATAGAACGTTGAAAAAGATATTAATCTCACAAAATATATTCCTTCCCTTTCAAAATTATTATTCTATAAATTGGAATAAAAATATATGTATATGCTGTGCCGTAGGGCATTAAAATAGGACTTTCTTATTTTAGCATGCCTTAATAAAACCAGCAATGGGGAACACTATCTGTATCTGACAAACCAAGGAACGGATTTTCTTAAAAATTAGTAAAAATAGTAACAGGTCTAAAATATTTTCACAGTTGTGTTATTTCCGGTTATATCGAAAGTAGATGTTAACTATCTTAAATGGGATACCCCTATTTTTATTCCCGGTCAAACATACATTTGAAGTCTCTTTGTACAATAAAGTGTATAGTTAAAATTTGTAATTTGTAAAAATACTTACCATTACCGGTATTAAAATAATATTTATTTTTTAATTGACTTATAATTAATAAAGTAGTCATTAACTATTACATGACATTAAAAGATTTTTTATTATACAGGGTGAGAAAAGAAAAACATGTTTAAATTTTGATTTAACAAAACATCAATATTTTCATTTTTTTAAATAGATTTTTGATGAGTTGATAACATGCAGGACTTTGACGAGCAGAGAAGATAGCTATCTCTAGAAACCCCTTAGTGTTAATAAGCAGATTCTTGACGAGTTTATAACCTGCAGAACTTTGAATAACTGTCTCTAGACACCTATCAGCGACAACCAGCATTTCTTATAAGCCCCTGGAGGATACACAATGGGCCGTATGAGGCCTAAGTGGTGTGGATCAACACATTCTCCCCACCGCACAGAAACAGAACTACACAAGTCTTTTTCTTTGATTTCTTTTATAAATTACAAATTTTAGTTATACCTACTTTATTATACCAAATGACACTAAAATTTCATGTTCTATTGGAATCCGGAATAAAAGTCAGATTTAAAAAAGAAAGTTGACATCTACTTCCGGTATAAGCAAAATGACAGAAGTAACTAAATATTTTCGATGGAAAGATCATAACCTGTTTATACTAGTTTTACTAATTGTTTACCAAATCTATCATTAGTTTGTCAGTTATAGTGTCCTTCCGTCGCTCTGGACGTATCAAAGATAAAATGAATTTATTGTTAAAAGAGGTTATTATCTATAAAAACAATTTAGGTACCTGCGCCAGCAGCCGCTAGTTGTGAAGCACCTCCAGCTCCATAGAAATTAGCCAGTTGGTCAGGTGGTAAATCAGATAGAGGAATATCACCCACTTTATCGTAATCTAAAACAGATATTTGAGCGTTATTTAAAATACCAGAAGAAAGTAATTGCTGTCTTAGGTCTTCAGGAACTTCATCAGGCAGTTGTGCTTCCAACACTTTCGGATCTTTCGTTGTTGTAGATGGTGGTGCTGCAGTGGTTGTTGTAGATTTACTTGAAGATTGGTACTGGACTTGGTACCCAGGTGTGCTGCTTACTTCAACGTTTTTTCTGGATACTTGGTATTCAGGTTGAGGTGTGCTTACATAGTTAGATGAGACATCTTGTTTAATATCAGGATTCTGCTGGTAAAATTGTCTTAACTGTTCTTGCTGTTGTCGTTGTCTTTCGATATCTTCTAGAAGTTGATTTCGTTGATCTATAGCTTTCTGATGAGGATGCCCTTGTTCTTCAAAATTTGATTTTGGTGAGTAGTTTTGGATGTAGTTCTCTAGATTTTTCTGTTTCTGATCTTCTAAAATTCTCTTTTGATGACTTGATGTTTGCTGTCGACTCAAAACCTCCTGGCTGCTTTGTTCTTGTGAAACACTGTTTTGATTAAATTGTTGAATTATTTTTTGTTGGTATTGTTCTGGACTTAAATTTTGTGATGGAACCGTCTCTACAGAAGAAATATGTTGTTCAAATTTAGACACTGATGGTATCAGTTGCCCTCCTGGAGGTAAAATGTTTTGGGCAGATTGTAGGTTACTTAAATGTTCATTTTGTTGATTAGTTTGGAATTGTTGTTTCTCAGGATTTCTAAATATATTTTGTTCATTCTGAAGTAGATTTAGTTGTTGGAAATTTTGCCCTTTTTCCGAGTTCCTAAATATATTCGGTTGAGGTTGATTAGTTTGTTGTTGTGAAGGTGAGAACTGATGATTTTTGTGATGTTGGAATGGTTGGTTAGACAAATTGTTTGTGTGTTGTTGGCTATTTTGTTGCTGATGTTGTAGGATCTGTTGATGCTGTGCTTGTGGTACAGTAGGTTGTTTTTGGAATGTAGACTGATGATGTGGAAGAGATTGTTGTGGGAATGTAGGTTGTTGTGGGAATGTAGGCTGTTGTGAGAATGTAGGTTGTTGTGAGAATGATGATTGTGGGAATGTAGGCTGTTGTGGGAATGTGGGTTGTTGTTGGAAAGTTGCTTGATGTTGATGTGGGAGAGATTGCTGTTGGAAATTTTGTTGTTGGTGGTATTGAGGAATGGGTTTATTTGGAAAATTTTGTGGTATGTTTTGAGGAGATCTAAAGTTTTGTTGAGTTCGGATATTTGGTAATTGTTGAATATTTTGAGAATTTTGTTGGGAATGTTGAGGGATTTCGCCGCTATTAAACTGTTGGTTAAATCTAGGATTATTAAAATTAGCATGTTCTGGCAGAGGAAGAGGTTGTAATGGGAATCGTGTCTCAGGCCTGAACTGAATAGGTTGCGATGGTGCAGGAGGTTGTGAGAACTGTTGTTGTGGTCTTAAATTGTCAAATGGTTTATATGGAACTGGTTGTCTTGTTTGAGGAAGATTTGGTTTTGATTGGAATCTAGGTGGTGGTGGATGTGAAATGCTATGTCCGAATTGTGGAGATGATGATGTTGATTGCTGTGAAAAGCTGTTGAATGTTGACCCTAATTGTGGAGGTTGAAATGAGAAATTTGGGGACTGTTGTGAATGTTGTGGAGGAGGTGAAGTTTGTCTGCCAAATGGCTTATAATTATTTTGTGGCAAGTTTATAGTTCTGTAAGGTTGTACGGCTCTACTATCAGGTCTAAAATCTGGTCTTACATCAGATCTGAAACCTGGAGGTATTGATTGGAAATTGCTAGAAGTTGGCCTTTTGAAATAGGCATTAGAAAATGACGATAACTGCCTGCCCTGAGGTAATACCCCAGATGTTTGTGGGGGCACATAGTCTTCAGGTTTACTTGATCTTTTTTCATAATCAAATCCCTCTTTACCGAATGTTACTTTGACACCACTGGGACTGTGATAGACTTCGGAGTCAGGTTTAATAATAGTTCTAAGTGTGGTACTGGGTGGCGGAGGAGCTGTAGCTGTTTCTTGATACGAGTATGGCGCTGGTTCTTCTTCTGGTTCGTCTTCAGGAATTTCTGGAGCAATAGCAGGTACTGGTTTATCGTAAATAATGCTATCTTTTCCATACGGATCAGGATTTTTCTTGTATTTGACGTAGAAAACTTGAACTTGTTCTTTTTTCTTTTTAGGTGGGGGTGGAGGAGGAGGTGGTGCCGGCAAAGAGACATTAGATTCTTTAATGATAATTTCAATGATTGGTTCAGGTTCCTTAATGTAAACGGGCCTTTCAACAATACGGGGTTTGTGGTATCCACCATACCTATCGACGTTCTCCTGGATTTGGTTATTTTCTGTTAGTAGGTCTTCGTTGTGTGGATCTACGGGCAAAATGTTAGTATCATACAAAGGATCTCTTTGAGAATAATGGATAAGAGGTTCCATTTGTACAGCATAAGGGGGAACAGGATAAGATTGTGGTCTACCTTTACGATATGGTCGGGAATAGTACTGTGATGGAATTTGGTACTGGGGACTCGTTGCTATCCTTCTTTCCAATCTGTACGACGACGGGAAGCTTGAATAATGATGAGAGATTTGGTACTCTAGGTTCCTTTTACCGCGGTCTTCTGTTTTCTTTTTTGGACGATGTTCATCTATGGCTAAACTGCCGATCGCCAGGGAGCATACCATGACCTGGAACAAACAAGTAACATTTATAGAACATATTATAAATGTTATCTTAAACACTATGCGCAGCATTAAATTATTTTTATTATTATTACAAATCACTGTTTAGATACGTCGCCTGTCCAGAATAATATTGTCCTAACTCCATTATGTAAATTTTTACAGGATAGGGAAATTATGTAATGCGTAGACCTGTATTAGCGAGAATATTTGAAGTACCTATGTAGTTTTGTTACCTTAGTATTTTAGTACTAAGCTTCTGTAAATCCTATTAGCACCAAAATTTAGGATATTTCACTACACTCCCTCCAGAGAGATCTATCATCCTGTAAAAATTTAAATATACGAAATAAAACAATATTATTCTGGACAGGCGCCGTGTCAGATAAAAATCAATTATTAGAAAGGAATTAGAAAGTTGAGAAAAGAGAAATAAACTCACAATTTGTTAAATGTAATATAAAGATTACTGGTATTATCCAAAATGTTGTATCTTCCGTAAAATTTTTAATTCATAGGTGTAAATCGATTACGTTCATTTAGTATAGTTCTAGTAAAAGTGAAGGAAATAATATACCTACAATGACACTTCTCGAGTATAAAATTATGTACCGTTAAACAAGTAACCTCTCAAGGTTGTCGTTAACAACCGTGACCTTAATATTTCAGTCTGACGAAGAAATGCACTTTTATGAATAATAGAAGAGTGTAGAGTGAAATTACCTTAAAGGCGTCCAAGTGGAACAAATGATGTAAATGTTCTATAATTTGCGGTTCTAAATAGGTACTTTAATAAATATTATAATAAATTTATAAAAATATAGATTTACAAGTAGATAAACATATATTACAATATCGGTAATTTAAGACTGAGAACTGTATCAGTACTACAAATTCGCGCTGAGACAAATACATGAGAGACAAGTTAGCGCCTGATATAAATAAAGTGAGTAAAATTAACGCATGGTCAAGTTATCGTCAAATTACTGCTTAGTCAAAAAAGAGTGAGACAAATTTGCGCGTGACAAAATATTCCATTATTCCAATTGAAATTAAAAAGAAAAACTAATCTACCTAACCCGTGGGGTCTGGTGCCAACGGGGATTGCTTAAAAAATGTACATAAAATAAGAAAAATTAAAAAACTTAAAAAAGTGTGATTTGTAAAAATGTTAAGAATATAAAGCACTTCGTTTTTCAATAGAGCATCTATTGAGACACTTTATTTATATCAGGTACTTTTCTCACTTTATATCAGGCACTAACTTGTATTTTATGTATTTGTCTCAGCGCAAATTTGTCGCACATATTCATGATTTGCTTTCTGAATTATAGTGAATAGTGAATAAAATAAGTAAAAAAAGTTACTATTTATTTTGTTTATGTTTTGTAAATTTTATTGCAGTTATAGTGAATTAAAAGTAGTTTAAATACTTTCTTTATATTGGTTTTACTGACCTATAACGAGTATAAGCTTTATGAATAAATAAATAAATAAATAAATAAATTATATAAAAATGTCAAGTGCACAAGTACTCGTAAACGACCTAGTGGCCACAAAGCATTTTCTTTAGAAGAAAACCAGTTATCTAGCGGTAAATAAACCAAAATCAATTTGTAGCGTAAAGTGTAATGTACACTAACCACAAGTAAATAGTTCACTAACTGTAGGTAGTCTAAAAACTATTTAAACTGTTCAACAACCACAGGTGACTAATTTCAGAAATCTTGTTTCACTTACTATAAGTGAACATTTTACCTGTCCCATATAGTATACAACTTTTTATTTGTGGTAAGTAAAAGTTCGTTAACGGTTAGTGATTTTTTTCCGTGTATTATTACACTGTATTACTACTGTAACGAATTACTATTGTATATACTTACTTCTGTAATGGATTACTACTTCAATGAATTACTATTGTATAGGCTTACTACTATAATAGATCACTACTGTAATGGATTACTATTGTAATGGATTACTACTGTAATGACCACTACCACTGTAATGGATTACTACTGTAATTGATTAGTACTGTAATGAACACTACTACTGTAATTGATTAGTACACCAATGGATTAGTACTGTTATAGATTATAACTGTAATGGATTACTACTGTTATGGATAACTACTGTTATGGATCACTACTGTAATGAAATATTACTGTAATAAAATACTACTGTAATTAAATACTACTGTAATTAAATACTACTGTAATAAATTACTACTGTAATGAATTACTACTATAATGAATTACCACTGTAATGGATTACTACTGTAATGAATTACTACTTACTGTAAGGGATTATTACTGTAATAGATTACTACTGCAATGAATTACTACTGTAATGAAATACTACTGTAATGAATTACTACTGTAATGAGTTACTACTTTAATAAATTCCTACTGTAATGAATTATTACTGTAATATATTACTACTGTAATGTATAACTACTGTAATGGATTACTTCTGTGTAACGTATTACTAATGTATTGGATTACTACTGTAATCGATTACTACTTTAATGTAATACTACTGTAATGGAGAACTCCTGTAATAGATTATTGCTGTGTATTTAAGGCAGTAACTCCAAATCAACATTATCATCTTCCTGATTGAAGCAATCAATATATCTCTAATATTTTCTATTTAGATTCAACGGTATCACTATTATGGATGCTTATGGCGTTATAATAATTGCAGTACTCTACTCTACTCTATAATTTTGAGGTTTCTGTTTTAGAATCTAATTTAGAGACACTTGGCATTTTAGTAAGCCTAAGCATGGAAATACAAAATTTTACAAGCACAAACATTTTATGTGCTTTTAACCAAACCATGTATGTGAGATCTGGATGTCTAATAGGTCTTTGTATAATTTATTATAACAATGCGTCCGTATGGAGACCATAAAGTACATATTTAAAAATGTAAACAAATTATTGACAAATAATAAGTATGTACGTTTTTTTAACAACCCGTTCTGTAATATACCAAAAGTCCAGACCAATTCTTTTGTTTACTTTCATAAAAAAACGGCCCATCGTTTCAAAAGAAAAGCAAGTAATTTATCGTGTGAAAACGTATCGCACAATGTAATCCTTTATGAATATAGCTTTTGTAAATCTAACCTTCTAGGGTTCCTCTACTATTATTAAAATATATTGACAAGACTAGTATATACCTATTATTTATTGGTAATTAGTAATTTAGAATTTAAATTTAATTACAGGAACCAACCGTCAGCTGCTTTGTTACTTTTATCTCTCACACATTTCATTTTCAAACTAGACAGATACACATCTAATTAACATATATCTAGTTAGCTACTGATCTATCTACACTACACTTAAAAGAGACATTAGCATAAAAAACAAATTCTTAACCATTCTTCATCTGACAAGATAACTTCGCCCATAATAATTTTACTATAATTTTGTAATTATAGTGGACGGATATTATGGGAAGTGGAATCGTGACTATATTCGGAAACTCATTATTTTATCTTGCAAAAACCATGATTGAAACGCGGTAAACAATATGTATGTAAGGCTACAGGGTGTTAAGTGAATTTTTGACACACTTCAAGTTCATAAAATTTTATTATATTCGATAGTCGTTATATGGGATGGGATAGGTATGTAGGTACACCGAGAGGTACACAGTTCGATAAGAAGAAAGTAATGATCTCACTTCATTTATTTTATACATGTTATATCAAACTCAAACGAGTATTCCTGCTTTTAGTAAATTTTAAAATTATCAATATTTTTTAAATTATTATTATTATTATTAATATTATTATTAGTTTTCAGAGGGCTCATGAATCATTAAAAAATATATTTAAATTAAAAATTCCGAAAAATCCCAACCCTATCATTTGCACTAATACACCACTGTTCTACTCATTATTTAAATCTTATTTTTGATTTGAACACACTTCATGGAGGAAGGATTATTAAGAGTTGCCGTGTCTTTGTAGAAATTTGGCAACATGTTTGCTGGCAGCAACCTGTGGGGGGGGGGGGGGGGGGGGGGGGGGGGGGGGGGGGGGGGGGGGGGGGGGGGAGTAGTAGAACTAATCCTACTCTGTCGGTAATGTAGTTACCGGCAGTTTAACATCAACTCTTACTCTGTCGGTAATGCAGCTACCCGTAATATTATATTTAATTTGAAAATTGGCGGTTTTTTTTTTAAAGGAGAATTTACTTTTGCAATTATTTTCTAACTAATCCGAAATATAGCCATCCAAAATTTTGGTAAGTAGTATTTTTTTAATTTTTAGTGAAATAAAAAACATGTACGTGTAGCTAAAATATGTTCCTCTGGAGCCACTTCTTCAAAATTTCGTATTGTTTAGAAAAGATAATTGCTTAAGTAAATTTTCCTCTTAATTATAATTAAAATTTTGCTTTTTTATTAGCTGTTTGTAATAATTATGAAATGCCAATAAAAATGTAAAATTCTATGACAAATAATTATGAGGGATAAAATAAATATCATAGTGATCCATTACAGTAGTAATCTATTACAGTAGTAATCTATTACAGTAGTAATCTATTACAGTAGTAATCTATTACAGTAGTAATCTATTACAGTAGTAATCTATTACAGTAGTAATCTATTACAGTAGTAATCTATTACAGTAGTAATCTATTACAGTAGTAATCTATTACAGTAGTAATCTATTACAGTAGTAATCTATTACAGTAGTAATCTATTACAGTAGTAATCTATTACAGTAGTAATCTATTACAGTAGTAATCTATTACAGTAGTAATCTATTACAGTAGTAATCTATTACAGTAGTAATCTATTACAGTAGTAATCTATTACAGTAGTAATCTATTACAGTAGTAATCTATTACAGTAGTAATCTATTACAGTAGTAATCTATTACAGTAGTAATCTATTACAGTATTAATCTATTACAGTATTAATCTATTACAGTAGTAATCTATTACAGTAGTAATCTATTACAGTAGTAATCTATTACAGTAGTAATCTATTACAGTAGTAATCTATTACAGTAGTAATCTATTACAGTAGTAATCTATTACAGTAGTAATCTA